ATATATGAGGGAGATAAGTATTCTTATTCTGGTATCAGAGGGCAGGTAACTTTGACTCCCATCTCTGACTTAATTAACTATTCTATACTTCACTCAAGAACTGTCACACCAAAACTATTTGACAAAAGCACATGCTTCTCATACTTACCAACGGTGTCTTCCGGGCTCTTGCATGTGTTTCCTTGTGACTACATTTGGCTGGTTTATTTTAGAATAAAAAGGAAGAGGCAATTTTCATTTATCACTTAAATTAACTTACCACATCTTAAGATGACATTCACTTCCTCATGCTCCTCAGCTATGAATTAAGAGTGCTGTGAACATATATGCAGTCTCATTCAGTTCCCTAAACACAGAGATTGAAAACAAGCTGTTTCATTTCAACTCAAATCTGTGAAGAACATGCACCGCAATTTAGCACAGCACATATGCAGGTTATAAGCCAGAGGGCCACGTGGGAGAAAAAGTACAGCAAGCTTCAAAGAGAGAGCTTGAAACATTAAAAGCAGTCTCTCAAGTGCAAGAATGTGGCAGTGGGGGAAAGAAATGTCAAACATATTTAGACCACAGAACTCTGGATGAAAAACATTCTTTAAAATATCTGTGATATTTACTTCCTTCACACAAAAAAATTACTAAAGGTGATTCTTGAACATATGATGTAAGAGATAATGGTTTTTAATTTAAATATGGGAAATCCAGCTTCTGATTTATACACAGCTGTGACCTATGATGTTCATCTGAAAACCTCAAAACAGTTATTACTAATAAGTCTAGCCTAAGACCGGTGGAAGGTAACAACTCTGCACTGCACTGACTGTTCCTCTTGGAGAAGCATTGTACAAAAGCACTGAAAACATTTATGTGATACAGGAAGTAAATTTTTTCAGTCTTATCTTCAAAGTCCACACTGTGCCAATTGCTGTTGCATTACTAACACTTCATCCAAGTCAGCTTAGACCTGCAAGTTTCTTACCCTTTAAGTCAAAATGTTTTAAAACATTAGTTTTCCTTTTTTTTTCTACAGACACACTTTTATATACAGTTCAATTCCACATGCCTATCCAGAAGTAAACCCCCACTGACTTCAGTAGGATGTACCCCTAATTAAATGGATACAGAATTGCCTTTCTAGATGTGAAACTATTAAATTGACACATATTTTATAAACTCAAATGCACCATATGATAATAAAAGTCAACTTTAAGAAAATCTATTTCCTACTGAAATTGAAGACAACTTTCGCCTCCAGATGGTCCCTCAAGTCTGTGCAGCAGATTCTGATGGAATGCGAAGAAATCATTCCCTCCGCCTTCTGCATGTGGGGAATGTGTTAAGAGTATCACACTCTATTTACAAGCCTTGTTCATGGAAATTTTGTTCTGCTACAATGCATTTTCCTTCTCAAGCTTCCAGTTACTACTTCTTTTTATTATTATTATAGGTAAAACAAGAAGACCAATTCTTTTAATTAATGGGCCCTACATTCAACTGAGGATTTGATGTGAAGGCCACATGTTGTTAATGCTAATCGTGATAGGGGTTTTATCTTGCACCGACTCCTACATGTTAGCATTAATTGTGTGTGGTGCTTATTCCCAGAACTGACATGGAAAACACCTACTACCACTGGTGGGAGGAAAGCAAAGAGCACAAAATGTGTCACTATGATGCTGGGAAATTTGCTGTCACAGGAAGAACTGCTTCATGTACATGTCTATTTGCTTCAGTGTGTTATTTTCCCTCTACTAAAATTAGCTACTTTATTGATAAGATCTTGATTAGAATCATTGACAATCATGAGAATGCTTTTTTCCTATTAATCTACGTGGGTGTGGGTTGTCTTTTCAAGTAATGTCAATCAAACATCTGCTTGATCATCTGGAGGGCATTTTAAACAGCATCAAGGCTGCATCCATTCCCTTATTTGTCTTTCTTAGAACACTCTGGAAATACATTCTGTCCTAAGAAAGAGAAATCTTAATGTTAAACTCAGAAAGCAAAGCAAGGAGACCAACCTCAACTAGGTGTTCAACCCATGTTTGTTTTTCAGACTGGTCAAATGGGGAGGGAGGGACAAGGAATATACTACAGAAGGCTACAAAAACTTATACTTGTGTAGAAAACACTTCTCCACATAATTCACATTGAACTACTCATAGGTGTCAGTCTAGATTTTTATTTTTATTATTTTTATTTATTTTATTTTTGCCTGCATTTTGTCCATAGGGAACCAAATGGGCAAGAGCTCAAGCTGAGAACTCAACTAAATTTAATTATTATCATTTTGTCACAGATAAGATAGTGGTCTAGGCTTGAAAAAGTAAGGAACCCATATGGAGCTTATGAATGAAAGATCCAAATGGAAATCACATTAAACATACTGCACTGGCTAACATGATGCAATAGAAGAAATGCTTTGGTGGGCAAAGCAAAATAACGAAATAGGAAAGCATAGGACTTCCTGTACTCAATCCATATTTACTCAAACTGATCAAATGGGGGACCAAAACATTGCTGCTGAAGGTAAGAAACTGGGAGTAGAGCAGAACTCACACTGTAGACACAAATACATCCTCAGCTGAAGTGGATTCAGGTAATAAGCCATCACTTCAAAGCCGAAGCCACAATTCCACCCAAGGAAGAATACTGTTATAACCAATGAGTTTAAAATGTGTTTAAAGGGGGAACTAAAACGACATGTGATTAAAAGGAGGGCCTCTCCATAGAGGTATATGCAGAAGAATGGAGGGGAAAAGGGGACAGACTAAGGACTAATAGCTTTGCTACTGAATGTGTCTGAACTACTAAACAATGAACAGTTTTAGGACTCAATGTTGTGGAAGTAATTTCAAATATGGCAGAATACAGGCATGTGGTTGGCCAATCAGTGACCCTTTGCACAACCAAAACTTCTGGCTCCTCTTGTTTTGTACTTTCCTATTTTGTATGAATCATTCACATGAAAATGCTGGCTCCACTGCCAAGTGTGCTTTGGCAGCACAGAGCTTCATTGCCTCCCTCCCGGGATATCATGAGACATGGGAGTCTTGCAAATGCAACCCGGATGGAAGGAGGGAAGGAGCACCCTCCTTTTGGCCCCTTTTCGAGGCTTGCAAAAGTGAAGAATGGATTTTGGAACGGGGGCTGCATCGGCACCCCCCTATGGTTTGGAAGCTGGGAGTTGTGGTGCTCCCTAGCCAAAGGGTTGCTTTAAAGGAATGTGAGGAGGATTTTAATTTAAATAATTGTATAATTAAAAAGGGGGGAGAAAGAAGGGGCTCATATTAACAGTTCAAGGCATGGCCACCTGGTCCTCACCAGCCCTGTCCTTGGCATGCTCATAATAAAATAAAATTAGTAAGTGGAGAATGTTCTGGGCCTCTGGATACAGTGGGCCATAGTTAGTTTAAACAAACAACAGAATTAGCAGGATTGTTTTTTAATCAGCCCACCCTAATCCCCCCCCAGCACCTAATGGGCAACTGGAAACTGTTTTTAAAAAACAAACAAAACAGTTAGATATCAGGAAGGGAAAGCAAAAGACAGTTCAGCAAGTCCTTGGCTGCCTTTACGTGCCAGGACTGGCGGCCTGTGTTTGAACGTGTTCCCTCCATAGCTTGGTTTTAAGTAAGAGTACATTAAAATATTTTACCTTATGGTTTTGATAATGAATTAGATAGCTAAGATAATAAATAGGTAAATAATTTAATTAATAATCTAATAATATATAATAAATTAATAGGATCAACAGGAGGTTTTATTGGCCAGTGCACACATAGAGCACACGTTTTGCAGGCTGAGACTGAGCTGCGATTATGGCGCCTAAAAAAGGCCAAGGAACAAATTAAAGGTAAGCAGCCTGCCAAAAAGCACGCAGCTCCTCAAGTCTCACCACCCCAGTCATCCTCAGATGAGGAGAGCTGGTCAATATCGGACCAACTGCAGGCAAAAATTTTGGCCCTGGAAGCTGATTGCACCTCGCACAGTGGCCAGCAACCAGCAGCTGTGTCGCTCAGCTAGGGATTCAAAGAGCCATAAATGAGCAAAGGTCAAGGCTCTGGCAGAGAACTTAATGTCTTGCTTTGCTGCCTTAGAAGCTAATCAGCAGTCTGCACCAGTGCCACAGCATCGAAGTGGAGGACTGTGGGACTGTGATGATGGATGTGGTGGGTTCATCTTCGGGATGCCAGGGAATGCAGAGCGGCACAGAACTAAATCCAGGTTTTGAAAAGGTGGTGCAAGACACGCCTCAAGCAGAAACATCAGGTGAGCTTCCAGTGGCACCAGACACTGTCACAAAAGAGTGACCACTAGTTCATTGTATCCCAAGAAGAATAATATTAAACAGCAAAGGACCTCACAAGACACATTAATAAATACAAAATGAATATGCTTTATTATCTATTGATTACAATTCTAATAAAAGGGGTTTCATGCATTCAACACATTCAAACCACATACATACTCACCAAAGAAAGAATTCTTTTTTTCCATTGTCCAAGTTCAAAAAAAAAAGTAGTTGGTTCTAAAAGCCTTTGGGTCTCAGCAGATTAAATATGGTTGCCCAGACTGCTCTTTTTATATTCTTTTTAGGCAGGTTGCTAGCTGGGCATGTGCATTAGATGTTTCTTTGTTTCCCCCTAGATATATGAGGATACTTATTGTGAAGTATGGAATGCTTAAGGTGTCTTCCATCACTCAGTGCAGTGGTCACCAACCTTGGGGCTCCAGATGTTCTTGGACTACAACTCCCAGAAGCCTTCACCACCAACTCTGCTGGCTAGGATTTCTGGGAGTTGAAGTCCAAGAACATCTGGAGGCCCATGGACAGGCGTGGAATCTGCTTGCTCAGGAGGATCCTTGTACCAGGGTTGTCTTAACCCACGAGTTTGCTCCACTCCCTCAATTAGCAGCAGATGTTTTTGTCAGCTTACTGAAAGCATAGTTCAAAACGTTGACTTCAAGAGTTGAATTTATCATGATGAGGGCTTATAGCCAGAAATACAAAGTCACATAGTTCCTCTGGGTTTTGTTGGTCTCCTTTTTGTGTCCTCACTCACTCTCTCTGGTTCTTCACCTTATCCAGGCCAAACATGCACACACCTTACAACATCCGCTGGACCTTGGCAGACTGGCCTTGGCCTGGCAGAGGACAGGGAAATACTATAATACAGTACAGGACTTGCAAATGTATGGGTTCCCAGCTAGCCAGTGGTCTAATTCATGGACGCCGTCTGAGAGTTGGATGTCTCCCTACCCACAGGTGCAGGAGGCGTTTTAATTTACTTTGGAGTCATAGTAAAGGCTCAGCCTTGGAGGGCACTGTCATTAGTCCAGTACCTTGATTTAACGAGCATATGTGGATTATCCTTAGCACACGTGGCTTCTCTATGATCAATAATCGTTTTGTATGAGAAGTGTAATACACACGAATTTGCATTGGGATGAGCCCCAACCAGGCCTTTGGCTACAGTATATAGCATCGGCCAACCAAATTTGGGTGATGGATTTGACAGTGGGTACCTTTCTCATAGAGGTGGCCAGAATTTGAACCCCTGTGTAGGCACGGGGCAGGTGGTTCAACCCCGCCTGCTCTGTTGGGATTTCAATTTGAGAGGCACATGCTCACGCAAGGCCTGTAAATACAGGCACGAGTACACAGTGTGCAGTAGCTAGCACCCCAGCACAATGTGCTTCACAGCAAGGACACAAAGGACTGGGAATAAGGAGGCAAGTGGTAATACTGTATTTCCCCAAAAATAAGACGGGGTATTATATTAATTTTTGCTCCAAAAATGCATTGGGGTTTATTTTCAGGGGATGTTTTATTTTAGAGTCATGTCATCTCCTTTTGGTTGCTGCACAATGGTGGAGGGCGGGTTTTCACTTAACTGGGGCTTATTTTTTGAGTAGGGCTTGTATTACAAGCATCCTGAAAAATCATACTAGGTCTTGTTTTCAGGCTAGGTCTTATTTTCAGGGAAACAGGGTAGGAAGGCAGAGGTAGTGACCACTCTGCACAAGAGACCCAGCCCGATTAAGATAGAGGATCTGGAAATATGGCTGCAGGATTATCCAAGAAGGGAGATGCTGCATACCTGCAGAGTGCATTTAAGGACGGTTTTAGGATCTCAGGGGTAGGACAACATAGAGTTCTTTGCCCAGAATCTAAAGTCGGTCAAAGGGACAAAGAACGTAGTTAAGGAAAAAAATTGATAAGTCAGGGAAGATTGGGTGCTGTGTCTTTTTGAGCACCCCCATGGCACATCTGCGGGTCTCCCATCTAGGGGTAGTGCCCAAGAAAAATCAGTGGGAATACAGGCTAATATACCACCTGTCGTTTCTGGAGGGAGAACCAGTAAACGACGCCATCCCTTCGGAATTATGCAGTGAGGTACACTTCCTTCAATGCAGCGGTGTGCATGGCTCAGACATGCGGCATGGGGCCAGAGCTTGCAAAATATGACGTCAAATCAGCTTTCCATCTTCTCCCAGTCCATTCCCACGATTTTGACCTGGTGTGATTTCATTTTCAAGATTTCTATATAAAGGCAGAGTGCTGCCCATGGGTTGTGCTCCATCTCCTGTGCTGCATTTGAGTGTTTCAGCTCATTGTTGCTGCAAATTCATCTAGGATTCATTTCAGGTAATGGCAGGGGAGCTGGGGTTATCTTAAGCGGAAGAAAAAACTGAGGGCCCCTTCTACTTCAGCGACCCACCAGAAATCAAATTCAGTCCCACAATCACCCACACCTCTGCACTAAGGAAGGCTAAGTAGTTCAAGAGCTCTTGTACAAATGCTGCCAGCCAGTCATCTGTTATGAGATAGGAAGATGTTACCACAATACAAATACATGAAAGAAGTGAAAGTTAAGAGAGGACTGTTTAATACTGATTTGTATTAATGAGTTTATGACCTGCCTTTGTCCCACAGACATGAAGCTCATTTCTAGGGACATCATCTGAAACGCACAACTCAGTTTGCCAATCCAGTATGGCTCATGTAATGCATACTACACTATGGCCCTCTTCTTGCTTGAGCAAAAAGGACTGGAAACTTCTACACAGAAATGGAGATAAAACCCAGCCGGTGACTGATCAATGTCAGGAGTGCACAAATATTCTAATATGGGCTCCATCAGATATTGTCAGGTTGCCCAGGGCACAAACAGATGGAAATGATTGAATAAATAAATAATAAATACTCCAAATAGGTTCTATAAAGCACACACCTCTAAGTTATAGTTAAAATAGAAAGGAATAAATGCAACAGTTTGTGGAACTGACCAGCCAGCACTGTGGAGGTCCTTGGCATAGAGTCAGTTCTTGCATACAATTTCTTCATTTGGAAAAACTGTGAAGCAAATTGACATACAGTATCTACTGGCATATTCTGGGAATGCCTTAGATTTACAGCAATACACTCATGACATTTAAGCCACTCACAGGATTTGTGAAAGCTAGACAAGGACAAAACAGGGATATAAGCAGAATCCTGTCATCCTGCCTATATAACTATTGCATTTATCCTGCCCACATACTATTGGTATTCTTCAAGTTGCCTGAGGTTATACACTGTAATGTGTACAACCATGTGCAGGGGTGTTAACTTCACCAATCCTAGCAATCTTGTGCAAGATTGCTGGAGTAGGGCGGCTTCTTGGGTCCACTGAGAGTGGGAGATGCTAAAGCCTCCTCCTACCATTGATCTCAATGTGCATCACTGTTCCTGCACTGCCATAAGCAGTAAAAAAGCAACTATGTTAATAATAAATGATATGATGGTAACAAGGTGGCTATGCCAGTAGCAGGGAAATAATGGATCTACACAACCCTTGTCCAGGACTATACAGTGGTGCCTCACTTAGCGATTTTAATTCGTGCAGAAAAATTGCTGCTAAGCGATAACATTGCTAAGTGAAAGTAAAAAGCTCATAGAAATGCATTAAAACGCAATTAATGTGTTCCTATGGGCTTAAAACTCACCTTTAAGCGAAGATCCTCCATAGCGCCGCCATTTTCGGTGCCTCTAAAGCGAAGAATCCGTGCCTGAAAACAGCGGGCAGCCATTTTGTTTACCTAGCAGCCATTTTGAAACTGCCGATCAGCTTACCGAAAAAAGGGGCTTTGCAATGATCGCTTCCCTGCGATCATCACAAAACGAAATTTCCCCATAGGGACCATCGCAAAGCGATCGCTTTTGCGATCGCAAAAATAGCGTCGCTAAGCGATTTTGTCACTATACGGAGCGATCGCTATGTGAGGCACCACTGTATAAGGCCCAAGGTTATGCATCTTTTCTATGAATGCATTCTCTGCAGCTGAAATAATTGGCACAGTTAGTCTCAAAATGTACCTTTCTGAAAAGACAAGTCTGGAATCCTGTGTCACCACATCCTGGACAATTTTGTTGCTAATTTGCATACCAAATTTATTCTACCACAGAATAAACCTGGTATAGATTGAAACTGTCTTTTAAAAGAATAAATAACCAAACTTCCAAAATAAAACTATATAGAAAAAAACCCACTAGAAATATCCTTAATTAGTAACAGCACCTGCCCCCCCCCAAAAAAAACAGGATCTGAATCCATCCTTCCCATTCTGCACTTAAAGCCTTAGGTTATAAAATTACAACATTAAGATCAAAGCTTGCCTGAATCAATGTGCCTTTTGCAGCTCTCCTTCCTAGTTACCTCAGCATTTTTCATTCTTTAGACGTGGTAATAACAAAACATACACATACATACCAAGTGTGAATTGTATTAAAAACTATGATTTATGGACACATATTGTGCATGTGAGAAGACAATATCATGTGCTAAGATCACAAATGACACCCATGCCTCCCAAATTCTTCTGCAGGCATCCTGTTCGAAATAATTCTGTTGAAACTTGAGTAACTCCAGCTCCAATTGGCTTCCCCATGCATACCACCCTTTTCAAAGTCTTCAAGTTTGCATCTATTTTCTGTTTGGATGAAGCTGAAAGCAAGGACCAACCAGTACTTCTCTGTCTGTGAAAAATCTTTGGTCCAAATCTCTCTCTGGACAACTGATTTGAATGACATGATGCTTTCAAAAATTCCTCATTTTGAAGCTTTTTTCCCATATGCAGGTTAGAAGACTTAAGCTGATTCAGCACTTGAGGTGTGATTTCCGACTTTTACATCTTTTGTGTTTTCCTCTTTTTGCTTTTCACTTTTGTGCCTTGCTTCTTTCACTGTGATCTGTAAAACATGCCACATGCTTCACTTGAATATCTTATTCTTATCTGCCTCAATTTTTAAAATCAGTGTCCCTTCAGTTAGATGAAGAAGCATTGTTTTTATATCTATTCACAGAAATATGCATTTTACCAGCTATCATTTTCTGAACATAGAACATGATTGATTTGATAGACACAGCATGATTTTTACAACCTCGGGAAAATCTAATTTGCTCCACAATATGGTGTTAACACATTCTCTTCAAAACATATTCTGTTAACACTACAAGATTATAGTAAAGGTTTCATTTCATATTCATATTGAGACTGTAAAATAAAGTAGCTTCAGAGGCTTAAAAAAGTTGCATAGATGACAATTCTTGCCTAATATATTTCAGCCAGCACTAGACAATTAAAATGTGTATGATTGCATACATTTTGTGCATACTTTTATACCTCCCCTCAAAGAAATAAAAGTACAGTGGTGCCTCGCATAGCGATCACTCCGTTTTACGATGAAATTGCTCTGTGATGAACTTTTTGTCATCGCAAGAGCGATCGCTTTGCGATGCCCCCTATGGGGAAAATTCGCTTTGCGATGATCGCGGGGAAGTGCTTCCCCGCAATCATCCCAAAGGCCCCCGCCAATCAGCTGTGCTGCGAGGGGTGGGGGGAGCGAGAGGCAAAGC